AAAAACTTGGAAAAAGAAATTTTTTTTATTTAGCATCGGAAATCCTTCAAAACGTTTGAAAATCTAAAAAATCTCATCCTTTTTTCTGTATGTACATAAATTACGATATAGTTTGCGCGTCACGTCCTCGCCACTGTACATTGGTTCGAATATATTTCTTCTCTCGCGGTTGCACAGGTTTAGCAGAAAAATACGCATCTTTGAAAAAATACACCTTAAAAGTCGTAAGCATATACGAAGAAGGCCGATAAAGAAGAGTGCAAAAATCTAAGCGCGCTCCACGCGTTTCTCTTTCAATCGATTTGATCCCAACGTGTATAAATAATTCTAATCGCGACCACCGATTTAGATCATAATTTATAGTACTATACAGAATAATAGCAAGAGCCGCAACAATAGTACAGCGGAATACAAATGGCCTAGTCACACATAGAGAGTGGCTAAGAGCAATTGGTGATCTGTACGCAGCTGCAGCATTGGTCGGCACAAATCACACGGGCGCTTGCCTACGTACGGGCGTGCATTTAAATTCAGATTATGCGCGGTGCGTACAGGTCGTCTGCTCGTATTAATTGCCGAATATTCTCGTTCGAAGATTAGGGGCGAATTAACGTGGCGGTTTCGATTCATTAGCACGTATATGCATACATAGATAAATATATATGCAACAAAGTTTTAAAGTTTGATTTTCCAATTTATCTTTTAGAACGAAAACAGACCCAGTGATTTTATAAAACTATGATTACGCGGATGGGCTCCCATTAACACATCGTGCATTCTTATGCACCCTTTGCCAAAAAAAGTGTTCGTAGCCAAGGCATCAGTACAGAGAAATAAACCAGCAAGCGAGTGAGCGGTAGGAATTAGCCATTTATTAATAAATAACCGCTTCCACAGAAAGAAGAGGAAACTCTCTTTTCTTCGACTATGTAATGCTCTTTAACATTAGGTATATATACACTGTCGCAAGCTAAGCATTTTAACCTGTAGCAAAATATAAGGATATATATACGTAAGCACACACGCGAGCGCACACAGCCGAGGTCGCAGATTAATTGTAACTGCATCGCCACTACCAGCGATTTGCCTAATTAATTCGGTTACTAATGGCTGCTGCATGCCGCTTCTCGACGTGCTTTCTCCCTATCTCTTTCGGATATTCGTTGAAAATTGCAGGTCGATTTTAAACTAATTAAGCCTTTTATCAGCTTTTCTCCGATTACTACTTTCCGTATGTACAATATGCAGACAACACTTAATTTTATTCTATTTACAATTAAATTGCGAGTCAATTCCTTCTCTTTTTTCTCATTGATCCTTATCACGTATCATTGGAAAAAGCATGTTTTCTTCACAACTCGGTAAAAAAATCAACGCACGTATTTTCGATCATCGATTCTGCACCTGATCCCGTTTACCCACTTATGTGCTCGAACTAAGCGAGAAACTGTGACTCGCTACTTTATTCATATGATTTCTCTGCAGATGTGAGCTTTTAATAAAGTAATCGAACGTCGAATTGATTTTTTACTTCGAATCTATATTTCTCAAAACAGGAAATTAATAGTAAGTACTTTTTTACGTCTGAACAATTTTGAAAATATAGACAAGTTTTTTTTCTATCGATTCGCGTTTTGTGGTGAACGATTTTTAATCCGAAACTACATTCAAAAGAAAATGTTTATCTTTGTCAATCAGGTAGATTGTCCATGTCGTGTAAAGCAAATTTCATCACGTCTACTAGACAAGCTCGATCCAATATGCACTTGAGACGAAATTGAGTGACGACGACAGCGACGACGACGACGACACAGAAGCAGTATCAAATAAGAAACTCTTTTTTCTCATCCTATATATTCAACTACTTTTTCTCTTCCACTCTTGTAGTGGCAAAAGCGATGGGTAAAATGTAGGAAAAAGAAAAGACAAGGCAAAGAAAATCTTCTCTTCTTTCTTCTGTAAGGTAAAAGAAAGAAAAGTTGTATGGGTCGTGCCCACCAGCAGTAGCGGGTCGTTCTTTATTCAAACTTGTAATAACGTTTGGCAGATGTTTTTGATATAGCATGTAGTAGTGCACGTACACACATCGGATGCTGCGAATATATGTATATACGCTCACCCTCTCTTTGGACGTTTTATACCGCGAACTTTTATCGAGTCAATTTAAGTTGAGCTGAAGAGAGAAAGAGAGAAATTTTAGCTCGAAGAAAAAAGAGAGAGAAAGAGAGAAAAGCCATGATATTTCATACCCTGTTGGACACGTTTGGTCTCTTTGGCTTTTTTCTCTCAAACTCTGATATGCTATTTCGGTTATGCGGTAAAGCTTTCAGTATGCAAAGTCTGCCTTTTTATCAACAGTGTATTATAATATTAAGCGATTTATTCCGAGTAGGCTTTTCCTAAAAAAACATTAATTTTTGGGTACCTTAATTCGTTTTGAGAAAAATGGCAACGGCTGTTAAGTTTTTAACTTGAGATGAAAAATTATGAAAACTCAGCCCAGGCACGTCTCGTGCGATTTTTCAATCGGAATATTCGATACATATATGTTTTCTCCGCGCCGAGAAATACAATTTTAATACAACTCACGTCCGAACTCAATCAAAAGCTCGATTCTCCATTTCAAATCGAGCGAATATGAAAAGCTGAGAACTTCACTTGCATATCAATCAAAATTTTCGAATACCTCTGCAATATATTCACGTATTTGTGTAAAATTAAATCTGATTTGTTACCCGTTATTTTTTATATAGATAGAAACATCACTCACACATATTTTTTTTATAGTTTCAGCCTTGAACACTAAATTTTATTCACACGTTGCAAAAATTATTTATAGTTACTTTATCATTTTTCGTAATTTTTATTACATACATAATGATTCATAGTTTAATAAGCTATAAAAGCAAGTTAATTATCTTTTTATAAAAAAAATTCTTCGATGATAAAAATATCAGAATTTGAACCTCTGATCGATCAATCAGGATTTGAAACTATTAACAAAATAGTAAAACATTGATTATTGGCATAATTAATTTTTATCTCAAACACATTCATTGATATCGGGGAAGAGCAGCTGCCACCTATAATTATAAAAATTAAGCTATTAATAAAAGAAGTATTAAACTTTACAGAAGATCTCGCACAACCCATTCGATTGTTCAAAATTAAAAGTAGTTACTTGTGATACCATTCAAACTTTTATTTTAAAATTTATTTAAACATTTTGTCAAGGTAAATTTGAAAAGTGATTGTAGCCCAATAAATGAGCAATCGATTGAGGGTACCAAGAAATCGTATATGATAACCCGTATATTTGCTAAAACTTTTTATTGGTCGTAGATCAAATAGCCAACTGTATTACCGGCCCTTTTAAAAATGATCAGTAGGTACGCAACAATTCCATTGCGATATCTTTTATGTCTACTTGTATAAATGATCTGTTAAAAAAGTTGTCTTCTATAAAGTAGAAATAATTATTTTACACTATACAAGGACGCATATTCAACGAGAAAAATATCTAAAGTTATGAGTTTACCCATATACTTCTCGTTTACTTTTCGTATTAAGTTGCACATGCATCATACGTCTAGCGCAATCCTTTCTGAACTTGTTAAAATAGAGTAATAGAGGAATCGGTAAAAAATATAAGACTACAAAGTTAACGGGCCATATTCACTGGGTCTGAATGGGAAAAAAGTAAATGTGCAAAACGATTGAAGCACGTGGCTCTCTTATGAGAAATGACCTCAATTATTTTCAGCAGCAAAATGACTTTTTTGCATGATATTAGCTCAAATATTATAATATTTAATTGGAAAATTCGGACTTGTCAGTATGTTGTAATTTTTGCTTCATTTCAGGTAAATAAATGAAAGATCGTGCGTGTGAAATTAATTCAAACTATATATAATGAGACGTTTCCTTTTTCATTTCCTGTTTATGTTATGACAATGCTTTTGCAGCCAAGAAAGCAAAGAAGTTATGATTATTAAAATCAATAATCTATCAATGTAATCTCAATTAATCGAGTTTGGTTGGTATTTAAATTTTAAAACGGTGCCTATACTTTCATAATGAAAATAATCCAGTGTTCAATTGATAATGATTCGATTTGGAATTAAGAGGTTCTTTTAAAAAATGTTGTTTGATACATACGGGAAACCCTTAAAACGAGTTTTAATGAAACAGTAAAAATTCGGTCAACGTACAACCATCAATCATGTATAGAATCTCTTGAATGGAAGACAAGGTATTATACTTTCAGAGCAGAAGGCAGATAATCGTTACATTATTAACTTCAATTCAATTAACTCATGAAAAAATCATGTACACCAAGAAAAAGAGGAAAAATTAAATTTTTGATATCAAGCGATTCGGTATTCCATCAGTATGATACGCACACTTGAGCAGATGAAGAATATTCGGAAAAAGCTAAGGTAAGAAAAACAAAAATGAAGTTTATAAATGAAAGAACAGAAGGTAGTGGGCAAAGCACGACGGAAGAGGAAGAGAATCGAGGAAAAGATACGATAAGTAGGTATTTTTGTCTACTCCCCTCGTCTCCTCTTTCTCCGGAATGTAAAAAATTGCTTGGTTGGTTATTTCTTTGGTGTAAAGAAGGGATGGGTGGATTTATTGTTTTCGCGTGTCATTGGCTTGTCAAACGCAGAAAGAAGTGTCAGATTCATGAAAAGTCGACGCACGAAGGATCGAGACATGGCGAAAGGCTGGATAAAAAAGCGCACGAGCAGTCGCATGCAGAGGGAATCGCGTATAGCTGGCTAAAGTCGGTGACGGTAACGGTACACTAACACCGAGCACCGAGGCTGGTGGCGCCGCGCGACTCCCTGCGAGAGAAGACAGCAACTGCCGCTGGCGCGTATATCTGCGGAGGAACTTTTACTCCTTCTCTTTCTCTTTTATATACCTGCGAGCGCTCGAGAGTCTCTGCTACCTAGGCGAGGTCGACGAGGCCCGCATACCACCGCGCCGCGCGATCGCGTCCGAAAGCAAGCGATCAGGCAAAGTCGCTGCATATGCCTAAGCGCACCGTGCAGTGCTATTTTCTCGTGCCAAAAGAGTATCAAGTGTGAAGCTGTCGATTCGCAGGTACGATAGTGTGCAAGGATCCAGGATCGAGCCGAAGAAATAAGTGTTCCTCGTTCTCGATTTGTAACAGTGTCAACGGCAAGCGTATATATTCATTTACAAATTGTCTGTGTGTCCGAGCTCGCTTGCCATAAACAAATTGGTGGCGGCTGCGGCGACGGCCAGTCTTTTGACAAAACAGGTGAGTGTTTGGAAAATCGTAAAATCTACTAGCAGTTATACGTGTGAAAAATTTACCGCGCTCGCATGTGTGTGCAAGAAAAAGACGGAATACCTGTATGATTTACACAGGCTCTCGAGAAGCTAGAGACATCAGCGTCCGGTTGGCTTATACTTGAATGGCCGGTTTGTGATTCTATATAAGAGAGGAGCGAGTTTGACAAATGCGGGAGAAAAAAGTGGAAGTTTCGCCGATTCGAGAGTAAACAAATGTGCTGATTTTTCTTTTGACAAGTGCCAATTCTATGGAATGTCGAGGCTTTGCTGTGGCGATGATCATTTTCCATTTCTTCGACTCTTGACTTTTGAAACGATATCGTTTAAAATCTGCAGCAGCGAGCTATCATTTGCAGTTTCCTCCTGCTACTGTAATAATACATTACGAAAATAGTTGCCACAGTGCAATAATGTCTGCTCGATCGGGTGTAAAGAAAAAAAAAACAACAGAACAACCGTAACAGCAGATATTAAAAGTTCAACTTGCTCAATTCGTCGACTGTATAAGAGTTGGCAGGAGCACAGACATACACACACGCGAGCATGAACCTTTCTCTCTTCCCCTTTAAACGTGTATAGCTGTATACCGCTTGGCTCGTGTGTGGGTATACATGCTATGTGTACAAAACCTTCATGGACGAAATTCTTGTCGCGATGTGGAATCGTCATTCGCGAGCGCATTACACGCTCTTTCGTTTACATTGACTTTTTTTATATCGTGTGCTCGTACGTGTATGTATGATCGGAGCGCGTCGCCACGATCCCGATGCTGCAACGTCCTTGTGACGAAATCATCGCGGCATACGTGTGCAAACGAATTATCAAGCACTACAGACAAGCTTTGAGATTTATTTTCGAGAATTATCGACTTTTTTCCTCTATAAATACATTAATTTGTCTTCTTTTACGTACACGAGAAAAAGTCCGATCGGATATATTCATGTGTGTTGAGTATCCGCGTACGCGCCTTGCAAGCGATGATCATCAGCTTCCACGCAGCAGTTAATGAAACTTATCTTCCGCAAACGTAATACCGCGAGAGATCCTTGCATGCGATCGAAATCGGACTGGTTGCATCTGCGATCTTTTGCTTTTTTTTTATTTATCATACAAAATCGTATCGAGTTCAGATATGTGAACAAAGTGGAGCTATCGATTTTCGGTTAACGCTAATTTACTTCTTACGCGATGGCTATAATAGATATTTACTGTTACGCGATAGATCGTTGGCAGCGAATAGTGGAGTCAAATTTTGTCACTTTCACCGTGAAATTAGAAGCAACGTAATGCTCTAGCCGAGTTTATGCTTAAAGTTTAAAAATTATGTATTAATCAAACTATATTATAAATCAAACACCCAAGGAATGTTGTAGCATTTATATGGAAGTTAGCTAGGCCAAAGCTCATATTTGAGAAAGGTTGAAAGACTAGCAACAAACATTTTTGCCATCTCAATTCAATTACAATAGCTCAGTCATAGATTTATCATTTATATGTATACATTTGAAACTCAACGAATAGCGACTTACTCACGCATATAGACACATACACACGTGCACGCACACATGAATAAAAGACACACAAGCGAGCGATGGTGAACGACCTCTTTCAACAACGTAGCTAGCGAGTGGATGCGTGAATCTATCTATTTGAGTCGGTAAAATGCTCTGGAGGCACAAAATTGCAATGTCTCGCTCGCGACGCGCACTTTGATGTTTATTTTCTTCGGAAGAATTTCTAAGGACATATTGTCTTTGCTGTAGACGCTAAAAGACTATTTATTAGTGACTTTCATCTCTTTCTTAAAGAGGTAAGGTAACAGCTGCGTCCAAGGAGTGTAATATCCGAATACAAGATGCAGTATTCGATGATAATTGCAGTAGAGTAATTACATTTCAGATTAGAAGTATTTTATAATATGCATGAAAGAGAGGGAGAGAGAGAGAGAGAGAGAGAGACAGACGAATATGAAGACAGGCCGTGAATTCTTGACCTGAATCGAGGCGCTCCTGCATCACCGTCGCCGCGCCGCACGTTAGTTCTATGCTGTAAGGACTTGGCACGATGTACCAGGGCAATTTATATAACTGCATTTTCCTCGCCGGGTATTTCAATGAAATATTTCATTGAGATGCTATTGAATTGCCATATGCTTCTGTAAGATAATTTAATGTATATATAACAACGATTCATAGAATAGTTTGTACTCGCACCAATCTTAGCTTTGAATTTTTTTTACTTTAATCCATGGGGCTTTCAAAATATCGACGATCCGCTCGTTAAACTTTCAACTTTCCCAGCATCGAAATTACAGCTAGTATCGTTTTCTCTGGTGTCGGTCGCTTATACATCAATATGTGGGCCGAATCATGCGTCTAACCTTCGCTTGCGTAGACGAAGAAAAGAAACGCATGCCTTTTCGCTCTAAAATAACATTAATACATTCGAGGAGAGCATTGAAATGCCTTTGCTTGTGCCAGGAATTCTCTGCATGGCTTACAAAGGTGTGTTTTGCACGCTATACGCTTCCAAACTGATGACTTGAAGGTCGATAAGTACCGATTTTTAATTTTTTTTTAAAAATCAGCTCGATCGCGCTCTGTAATTTATTCTCTCACGCCTACTGGCGAATAATTTGATAAGAATCTGGAAAAATGCATGTATATTCGTTCGCTTGAAATAACCTGAACAAGCTCAAGTTATTGACCTCGCGCGACTTTTTTTCGTAAATAATACCAAGTATAAATGTACGCACTGGTGGGGGCTCGCTCGTGTATATGTAATGTTACTCTATATGTGTATATATTATTCCTATTCTCAGGAGCTACTACTCATCGTCGGTATAAGCTCACACATGTCCGAGTCTCCGATTAACGGTAAAGTCTCGAGCTCGCTTACGTGCGAATTAATACGTCGTCGTCCGTTGGAAGCTGCGTTTAAACGCATTTGTCGCGCGCGAAAATCGATCGAGGCATTGTGTCCGTAACCAAAGAGAGTTGCACAAGCGACTGCACGCGACATTATGTAAAATGCGCCTCTTCCTTATAAACAATGCAAGCATGTATCTAGTCGCCAAACTCCGGTGAAACTCTACTCTCCATACGTATCATTGCGTAAGTTTTCTCGATTGGCTTTCTCTGCTTGCGTGTACGCGGCTGTGAGCGCCAAGATCCATCGATGCTGCAGCGACTCATCTCGTTCTCATTTTCAAAGATTTAAGATACTCAGAGAGGCGTTTAAACCTGAAAAAAGCTTACGACAAGTGTGTCGTGATTGGAATGTAGATAGCTATATATGTAGCTAATAATATTCATCGATGCGAATCACATAGTTCATAACGACGATTGTTCTTTTTTTTTTAAATTGACCTACGTAGTCATTCGATGACTTGTGCCAAATCGATTTACCTTTAAGGTATACATACACCGTGTACATTTTGCGGCTAATTTAATACTTGAGTCTCGTGTGATTTTAATTATACTCTCATGAATCCGTACTAGTTTTTCTTTTTTTCAATACTTCTGTGCATGCGTTATAGCGTAATCAGATAATGCGCGTAGATGCGATAATACGTTAGCATTCATTGACCGATTTATTATTCTTGTCTTTTTGAAGGAATTGTATTATTTTTTTCAAACGACCCAACAAGAAAATTGTTGGAACTTTCTAAAACAAAAAAAATAATAACATTTGACCGCACAGTGTCAAAGTGTAAAAAATTAGAAATCCATTACATTATCATCAAATATGATTAGCAAAGATAGCATATATATTTTGTCTTTCTTTTCATAAATAATTGAATACGAAGAGGTGTCATTGTGCCAGCTAAGCCACATTTCGAGAGTTTCGTTTCACCACGAACGCAGTTCCACATGCACAATTAAAATTACAATTAAAATTAAAAAAATTTCTTTGCATATCCTATTTTTAATTTTTAACGATGACAATGAATCTAAAAGTAATATATTTTAACAAATTTAATTATAGTGGCTAATATTGAATTCAACAACCGCGAGTCATTTGATAGTTCGTAATAGATGAAAGTTTTAGTGAGACGCGCGCAGTCACGTTACTTTCGTTCTTATGTATTATTATTAAATAGAAATTGTTTTATCGTTCATATTAGGTGCTTTAACTAGAAAATGGGTATTAATGGTGCGACCAATCCCAAAATATGCGTAAATTATGAACTTACTGCGACAAATCAAAACACATCTCCACTCCCATAGAGGAGAGAAAAGGATAAGTAGTTTTGCATGGAGCGAAATTTCTAAGTCCATTGCAGTCACCTTTCTAACATTTAGCCGTTGATAACATTTACATAGCTAGGCAGGATAGTTTGAATATTATACATTATTGCGTAAAACTCTCTTATGCGAGTAATTGCACGTATATTCATGCATGAACTGCACATACAGACGCACAGCCAATCTAACTCTTTTTACACGAATAGATTTTATAGGTTGTCCAAAAAATTTCCGAGAGGCGTTAAAGTGAATGTTATATTGATCGACGTTGCTCGAGTGAACTGAAATAGTAATTCTGACGGTATGCACGAATGAAAATCAACTTCGAACTAGAAACTTTTGTCACTGACAACATCGATACGTACATCGTGGAGACACTTGGTAAATACCGTTCTCAGGTCATTTTAATAGCTTTATCTAGCAAACGACTGATTTCATAATGTGTATATAGGCGCAGATTCCTCGACCGAGCGAGACGTAGACACGGTGGCGAACCGTGGATAGCGTCGCGCGAATAACTGTATAATCAACATACGTATCATATACACTTGTAACTTATGAAACTCGCCAACTTTTCATCGATGCATACGTTTTTACCTCGTGGTAATCTTATCGTGCAATACGTAATCGTGTGAATTTTCACTAATTTCGAAGTTTTTAAAGCAGGAGGTATTGATATGATTGCAGTACAAGAAAGGGAAAATCTTTTCTATAGTATGCTATATGCCAAGACGGTTATTGAGAATTTGAGAGTTTAAAGAGATATGTGCGTCCGCACGAGTAAGAGAGGGAGAGAGAAAGAGAGAGAGGGATTTTTAAATAGACACATTCCGTGCGTTCTTTCAAGGCCACACCGTGTGCATATCCTCCAAATGAGAGAGCCATTCAGCGTACATATATACAATCATAGGTAAGAGCGGGAGAGACTCTAGCGAAATGCGCTGCAGACTGCGCGCTCAGTATTACTCTCGCGTATAATACATACGCACGCGTGTGACACTCGCGCGATAACGCGCTAATTTCGCGTCCGGTGAAAAGCATATATATGCAGTAAGTACATGCAGTGTATGCGGTGCAGCGCTCAGCAGTGCCAGTGAGTGAATGTGTGTGGGTTTAAGAATGAAGTCTGTGTTTTTGCAGTGACAAGCGTCAGTTACTTTTTATGTATGTTTACGAAAAAGCAACTACATTGGCTCGTGAGAAAGTGCAGTAGTCCAAGTGCCCACTTTTTTAATAAAATGCATACATCGTACTGTTCTTCTTGGGCTTTTCCAGCGCTCAAATTCTGAGACGAAAAAACCTATACCGTATGTATTAGTTATTCGCGATGAAGCGTCTAAAATTACCTCATTTTGCCGCTTACAATCTTGCGCGCTCGTATCTGCCACCTACCGAAAATAATTAAGCGTTGATGAAATTCCGACCCACCGAAAAAATTCAACTTAAAACAGGTTCCTTTATGGCGCGGCTTCGTGTTCACGTTTGTAAACGCGATTGAATTATCATTGGCTCCAAGCAATTTTTTTGAGCTTCTCTCGATGGCTCGGATCGCACAGAAAAACTGTCGAGCTCAACTTTGATTGCTCAAGTTCATTTTCTTGAGATTAAGCACAAAACGCATTACGTATTACATGAAATATTTGCCTATTATCGTAACTGTGCAAATGCATCGTCGTGGAGCATATTTTGCGGTACTCGCGTATCTATATAGTGAGCCTAAGTGGCGAATAGAAAGAGAACCGGAAATCACCTGTTTAGTAGGAGCTCGGAGTATAATAATCCGTTACGTTTGACAATTCATATGCAATGAAAGACAGGAAATTTTAAACCGGTGCGAAACTTTGCCATTTTCAAAAATACTTGAAAAAGTCCATTTTCCGCTTTATACAATGCATTAAGATGTATAAACAAAAATAAATTGTAGGTACTAGTTTCAGGAATAAACACTGATACTCAACGAACACGAATCATTGAAACGTATTGACCAAAAATGTAGGGAATATAAAAAGCAGTTAGACCAAACTCAAAGATTTCCAAACATAATTAATCTTTAATTTTATGTGTTATAAAGGACATCAAATGAATAAAAACGATGTATTTCTGTAAAAATTAAAATTCAGAAGAATTGATGAATGGTCGCTTATTTTCTTATTTTTCAATATCATTATCTTTTTTTAATAATTATTATTGAAACAGCTTGAAATCAAATTCTGAGTACCATAGAGGACGTTATACAATTCTTTAGTGTATTATGCATCTGGTTTTCCATGTCGATCATCATATAAAAAGTGAAAATTATAATTATTGCATACCCAAAAGTGCCCGTACACAGGTCGAAAGCGGTCAATCACTGGGTCAAGCACCCTGCAGTGAATAAATATTTTTTTTCAAAACCAAAATTAAAAAAAATTTCAAATTAGATTTTTTTGGATTTTGCCACATACACGTAGCGCATAATTGTTGAGGTTATTGATTCAAACTTCAGATTCAAGCTATACTATTCTTCTTCAATAAATAACAAATTTACTTTTTCAATGATTGAATGGATAAGAAATAAATTTTGAGGATACTCTTGGGTGAATGTTCGCGTTTGCAAAAGGATTTCTTGACTAAACTCTCGGACAATTGTGAATTCATTAAAATTCTAATTTACTTTAATTAATAAAAATGTACATTTATATCTGTTTTAGATTTCGTGGAGGAGGAAAAATGAGGGCGCATCTTCGTACCAGTGCCATTTAACGATATCGCTCATCAAAAATGCATACCGACTGGCAAAAGGTGAGTGTTTGTCAAAGGCTCATTGTCTTTTCGCAAGTATGACTTTCTATCGAACTATTCCCAACGTAGAAGTATAAACGAAAGTCAGCCCATAAATATTTGTTGTGTGTGTTTGTGCGTGTGTGTGTGTGTGCACATATGAGCAAAAAAATTATCGGCTATTCGACAAGAGGCCGACCTACTGACTGAATTTTTGCGCGTGGAATGCGTGACTTGCCGTCTCTACAGCTTGCTTTTGACTCTGACGCGTAAGAATGTCGCGTCCCCGAGGCAACTAATTTTTTCGTCTCAATAAAATCTTGTCTAACGAGGCTCCAGCGATAGCTCATTAAAATCTTTGAAAAAAATCACTGCGTGAAGACGATTGACGAAAAATATTTATTAAATAAATAACAGAAAGAAGTCAAGTCGTAACTATAATAACAACGCACAAGGTGCTACTTTCACCTGAGCAAGGTATTTGACCAACGCGTGGATACTTGTGCGTATAGCTATACGCGATATGTAACAAGTGCTGCCTTCTGTACGTAACGGCGTCCGTTAAAAAGTGGCCGCAAGGCTTTTACAGATGCTCATCAGGTCCGAATCGCTTCGATGAAAATTGCTGGCATTGTTACCTCGAAATATCTTTTGCGGTATAGAAATTAGTTGGAGAGTCAGTAGAAGCGAATTTCAGAATCTCGTATACGAGTTTTGCGAGACGAGCGATTAATTACGGTCAAAAAGAGATCGTTAGAATTCGTGAGTCTATGCGGTTAGCATGTAGATGATTGGAGTTTGAAGCTGGTTGACTATACTTGTTTATCTTATAATTACAAGTCAAAATCACGATTTCCTTGTTTACCGATTTGGGTGGAAAATACACTTGATCTTGAATATCGAAACAAGTGAGAAAAAAGGTAATACTACTATCACTTGTATTTGTTGCTGTGCAAGTAATTTTAATCTTAGTATTGAAAGGTTTATAAGAGCTGTAGAAATACCAGATCAAAAATAGTTATAAATATCATAAGAGTGACTCACACGATACCGATAAAAAAAATACTTGACAAAAAGTTCATCGGGTACTCATTTGACGAATGCAAACTCAAGTTTATTAAATTGAGAATGGAACGAGTATAATACAATGAAGTACATGTGTATTTTAAGTAGCATTGAGATAAATGAAAGACAATTCCCAAGATTGTTCCAAGGCAAAGAATACAGACACATAACCCAGCATATTTAAAGTATCATGTCTTCCCATAAGCGATCTCGTGTGTATACACGCGTACGTACGGGCCATGAGAATATACCGCTGCTCAGTCACAAGTTCTCGCACATACGCATAGAAAAACTACGCTAAAATTTTTTTAAATTCTCATTATACGTCTGTAAGTACACGAATCTTGTTGAAATACCAGCGCACGTGTGTCATGCATGACTACTCGCTCAAGCGTTCGGCGCGTAAAGAAAGCTGTTCGTGGATTACCTCGGAAAATCTGCCCATGCCCAACGATCGAATATCCGAAACAGTAAAATCACCGATGAGACATATACAGCCACAATAAACCATGACTAAAAACCACAACGAGCAACGTCCTTACGTAAGAGCGCAAAAAATCGGCAGGTTCATAGAGAAAAGGAGAGAAAAAATAAAGTAAAAAAAAAAAAAAACGTCGCTGCGAGTGGAAAGAAAAGGGAAAAACAGTTGATTATTGGCAAGCATGCGTATGCAAGGAATCCAAGCACTTTCCAAACGACTGGACGTAACCGAGCGCGCGAACAAAAATTCCTCGTGCTACCGTTCGTTTGCCCGCATACGCATAAACGCAGAAACGCTCGACCCGCTCGTATCTCGTCCATTAGTTATAACGGCCGATATTTATGTTGCTGGGGACGGTGGCACATTCCAAGTTCGCTTTTTGCAAACCTTACTATAGCACACACGCGTCAAAACAATGTATTTTAATGGGCATAATTATAAATGCATCGATTTTTATTGACCTGCTGAATTTGCTCATTGACGTAAAAATGAAATCCATATAATTAGTTAATTAATCGAGCCCAGGCTATTTTAAAAAAGTTAAAATTTTATTGGCAAACCGCGTATTAAGGGATTACAAGGGTAGATCATTAAAGACGTTTGATTGCAAAAAAAAGTAATGAGTCATTGCCTCAGTTTGTATAGAAATTTTCAAGTACTTGCTCGTAGGATCACATTGAAACATCCTAAATTGTAAGTACGAGATAAATTATGTAAGCTAAATTTTACACACTTGAGACGTAAAATATAAAGTTTTGTGTCTGCTGCTTGTACGTTCCACGTCCTAATAATATATAATAAGCACATAGACATTTTTCTCCGTGCTCACGAAACTGTAACGGATTCGAAAAAACGGACTATACTGAGCGGGGGATAATTTTTCTATATAACGCCTGTTCGTATAAGAGTTTACGTGTTTCATAGATTGCGTCATAATTTTACAAATGCGCATTCACTTTACGAAGAGAGAGAGAGAGAGAGAGATTTAGATGTCATTAAAAATAGAGGCAGTGATTCTTTAAAAAGCAGTTGCAAGCGCGTTTTGAAATGTGTATATTCCGGTGACACAATGGACGTGCAATATGATTTAATATCCAGGATGAGGACAATAGGAAATAGTATCAAAGATGGTCGCTGCAAGTGCAATACTCACAATAATTTTCAATCGACGATCAATCCCAAGGAGCTCTCTTTCTCTCGCGAGCTTCCGCTGGCCGCAGGGTACGCGACTCCACTGCGTCCGTCCAAGGCATCGCGCAGTCGGAAAATGGCGCAAAAGCCGCACTGCACCCACTCCCGCCGCCGCCGCACACTTTGCGCGCACAGCTCATCAATTCGCTTGGCCGCGAAAGAGCATCGGAGAGCTGGCGCCCATTACGCATGTGTATACGTACATACGCGCGTGTTTACGTATTTAACGCAGGCAGCTACTTACGAGTTTTATATAAGGCAACGCACTCGTACGTAGACGTACGCTTGGTTCCACCCCAAAGCACTTCGATAGTACAGGAGAGCTCGCGAGTTTCCCCGCGCGCCTGCACTCTCCAGTCCGATCCTTTGGCTCAGTTCCGCGATGATGCTTCGTGCGTCGACTTCGTACGGAGCTTCAAAGCTCCTTGCGGCTCAGCGCGTGAACCAAGTGAACTAGTTACACTTTTCCCAGACATCTTCTCGGCTCGGATCCAGGCGATAATTCGCAATTCCGCAGTCGCGCTTTACAAACTCTATGCAAAATGTGTGCATTTTATATTTATATACTGCCACTGATGCTGACGACTAGTTGCTGTCGGAGAAGTAGTGGCTACCTCCTACTTCGCGCTAGCCTTTCGCAGTAGCGCATCGAACATCCAGCCGCTTGCCTCGACTCGTTCGTGATTCCTTCTCTAGACGCAGGTATAGACGAGGCAGTCATCCAGCATCGAAGTAATAACAGTGATGTGTCGAGCAGTGATTATTTCGCTACTAACGCGCGACGTCTGTTTTTGAAGATAGTGTGAAAAAGTGACCATCTGATCGATCTAGACGCGACGTGGCGAAGGTGAAAAAGTCGCAAGTGCAGCTTTATTGTTAAAATTTATTGTTAAAATAAAGTCATCGGCGGATCGCAAGTGCAGCAATAGGCGTTTTTGCTTATTACTCGGATGGAGAGAACAGTACTGTGTCAAGCAGTTTATATTCCAGCGGCTTTTCAGACCATGAAAAATCGAGGCGTGTTAATTGCTACGCTGCCGAGAGAAAAGGTTATTTCAATACGGAATAAGCATTAGGAAGTCGAACTATACACGCGCGCAGAAAGGCACCCGTGCGCTTCAAAAGAGAGAAGGAAAAAAAATTGCACTGCTGCATGACGTCTAAACTTTCACTGCGAGCGACTCGATACCTAGATTAAAATTGGATTTTTGTGCGCGCAATAGGTTCGACTGATTTTTCAGCTAAAGTGGACTTGCGCAAGTGCCATGGTGAGAGGAAGAGACGAAAATCGCAGCAAGCACGAGACAACGCCAGTAGAATATGTAAACAGTCGCTCGTTGGAAGCCTCGCCCCCGTCGCCCTTTCACTATATACACGCAGCAGCAGCAGCAGCAACAGCGGCGGCGACGACGACGACGACCTTAAGTAGCATCGACGTCGGCCAATGACGCCCACGTGCACGTGTGTATGTGCACACGTACAATGCATGCGGACGAGGCAAAGGAAACGTTGACGAGCGTTCACGAGTCAGTTGATCTAATCGCGCTCGACCGATCGCATGCCCGCGCCCCGACAACGCCACAAGTGATATTTCGGCTAAGCTCGGCGCGCTATTCAATTTTCTGCTAGCGAATGCGTAGGTCGAGGCATGCGAAACGTTCGAGAAAGGCTCGCATAAGCAGACGAGTTAAGAAAGTTGTGTTGCATCGCGCTGTATATTATACGCGCGCGGCCACAAGCAAATGCCGCGAATTACAACAGCGTACGGTGTTCATTGTGCAACGATGACGCTCAATATAGAATATGTCAAGATTATCCTATAGCGAGATTCTCTCGATGCGATGAGATTTTATAAGTGAGCTTGTGTATGCGCGCGACTATACAAGTGTGAAAGTGATTGAAAACGCGCGGAAAATAATGCAATGACCCACAACGAGTGCTTGCAACACCCAGTGCTGAGTCTTAATGAGCATTTACAATTGTATTATGCATAAACAAGAACTTAATCGCTCATTTCTCAGACGACTCGAGGAACAATAATGCCGAGAGTATCCTTCGACCGCGACCAGATGAAAAAAGTTGGTGATTTATGACGAAGCTATACAGCAGCCATTCGCGGGAATCTCTCTTTCACTCGGAAAGCAGCAGCGACATTAGTAGCAGTGGCAGCAGCAGTTGAAAGAATGATACGTGACAAACTCGTTTAGGTAAAAAAGCAACATGAACACGGTTGAGAGGAAAGCACGTGTCGGGAAGCGCGGATCCGAGCTAGCGGCGTCACCGTCGCCGCAAGAAAGGCGCAGAAGCGCGGAAACGAGCCAGCTCAAACGGCCGAAAAAGAAATCCGAGTCGTTTCACTCGTTGCCGCGCGAGCCGTTCGGCCCGATCTCGCGCAAGGACATCATCCGCCGGACTTGCTCGAAAACGGAAAATCAGTACGACCCGATCGCCAAGTTGAGCCAGTCCCTGAGAAAGAAGTGGCGCCGCGGCTCGCTGCTGATCAAGAAGCATCGCAGCAGCGAAGAGGAAGATTTCGAGACCGATCAGCTGAGAACCTTGCCCGCGATCTGCCGTAGATCGAGCAGCAAGGATCGCGATGCACCGAGCCTCACCCTGGTGCCGATGACGAGGATCTCGCGCAAAGAGATTATACGACGTACATCGAGCACCAGCGCCAATGAGGAGCCAGCGAGACGCGCCGCGACCAGTGGCTCGATTTATCGAGTACCGTCCGATCAAAGCAGCATCTACTCGAGGCACACGAGCTGCTACGCGACCAGCACCATGACTAGTCCGAGGCACCCCGACAGATGGCCCAAACGGGAGATTGTGCAGGTACCGAGACCGTCGACGTTGCCCAAAATCCTCTCTAATAAGAGCCGAAATAATCCAGAGTATCGGAACGCCGAGACTCGAAGATTACCGCCGAGAGATCAGTCGATCGGTAAGCAGGAAGCAACGATTTACGGCAGAATAAGAAGGCGGAAGATTTCTGCGCCGGTCGAGCCGATCTACAGGAACGGCCCGACCGACAACCCGTCTAGTTTGGGGGAGGCGACCTTGAGCAGAGCTCGCAAGACATACAGAAGCATACGAGATCCAACCAACGATCCTCTCAACTATGGCATCACGAACTATAATAACTCCATGTCGAGTGCTTCTCTGCCCAACGTTCCCCAGAGGACCATGTCTCGACGGAAAATTATCGAAAATATCGAGAGCAATAACGCTCGGATGGTCAAGTCACTGGATCGAGCGAAGAAAGATACGAAGCAAGACGCGAACAAAATTAATACCGTGCCGAGGGTAGTACGCGACTACGAGCGTGCAAGGCAACAGAGCAATGGGCATCGTTGCGACGAGTCGCCGCAACAAGAAGCGCCTAAAGCACCGCTGAGGAGAAAACACAGCGCAGCTGCGGCTGCGGCCAACGCCGCTGATGCATCGATGCTTACTGGCTCGTCGAAAAGCCTACCCTCCTACGTCAAGAGAAATAAAAAGCCGTCGGCCATCCCACTGCGAATCGACCGACCGCGAGCAGACTTTGCGACCAAAAGCCTCACCAGACCAGCGACACAAGAGATGAGAGCGCCGTACTCCGTTTACGGTTACTGTACCGGAAGAAGGAAGCCCGACGCCAAAACAGCCGACGATCGACCCGTGACCCCTTTCAGAACAAGAACTCCAAAAAAGGTTCGATGTGAATTTTTGCGAAGCAAGATCGCGCATCTTATGTCTAAGACTCATAGGCTACGCACGGAGGGACATTCGTAAAGATTTGTAAAAGTCGGATAGAATGAGAAACTAGCTTATTAAGTACACGGTATACGATAAGTTTCACCGACGCGCCTGCACTGGCCTTAAAAGTGCATTAAGCGCTAAAGTAGCTGCGAGATGCAATTAATCATTATTTATACTTGCAGCGGTAGTTCGCGTGCGTTCGGCGCGCGTGAGTTTCACATTTTTGTCGAATGCCTTTATTCATTGAAAGACACTAATCAGCTTCGCCACTTTACTAATTCATCACGGAATTTGTATTAATGATTTATTTATTTTTTGGCTGCAAATAATTTATAAGATTCTTTTTTAATTCTACAGGGTGAGCTCGTGTGGTTCGACCCGGGAGTCGGCCATGTTCTTCCTGGAGAGGTCTTGGAGTACCACAGAGCGGCCAATGTTCTATCTGTGCAAGCTGTTATCGCTGGAAAGGTAAATCATTAGACAAAATTAACTTGGCGCTTAACAAAATGCACACTAAACGTTTTCAACGGCAAGCGCGTGAAACTTGTTTTCTCACGGACTAAGCGGGCCTTGTTTACATCTCGACGTGAGTTTTTCCAACATCGCAACATTGTATCTATTCGTGTAGCTGCAACGTGCGAGGAACGCGCGCGTAGCTAACGTCAAAAATATTTCTGCGCCAGCGCAGCGATATGGAAAGTCGTTTGGATAATTCGAGTGCACACATCCTTGAGCTCGCGCAGCGCTGATGCTTCCCGAGAAAGTGTTGCTTTCGATCCATCACCGCGTATGTAACACGTGCGCCTGTCTGCCTAATTCCGCAGCAAAAGGGATCGTTCTCGATTTTTTCGGCTTTCTTTTTAGCCGATAACTGAATCTTCGGTGAATGACACCTTAGCGACGCACGCACACATGCTCGAAGCATGTAATCTGCCCATTATTTTGATCGTGCAAATTAGAAAGTACGCATGGATGTTCGAGTCGTCGATTGAGTTGCGAAATTGAAGATACATTATTTCTCGTCGCAAATCGTGCATACCATCGGCATTTGCAATGTAGATTTGCTTGTCTAGAGATGCTCCTAGAGCGATAAATAATCCATAATTTTTACGGAATTCTTATAAATGATTCTGTCCCGTTACTTGATTGACTTTTTCAAATTTAAAAGGACCAGTAATATATAGTTCTTTCATTAATAATTCATTTTTCAGCCGCAAACATTCACACTTACCAATCTCAATGGAGTTAAACCTAGACAAGATCTGGGTCAGAATGGAGTCGAAGACATGATTCAATTGAAGTAACTAACATTATGAATTCAAAAGCAAATGAAGTAAATAATTGCAAACTTTTAATTTTACGAATATAATTTCAGTGACTTGAATGAAGCTTCGCTACTATGGAATTTAAAAATACGATACGACAAGGAACTGATTTACGTGAGCAAAAATACTTTATACGATGTCACTTTTTGTACATATGTAGTTATACCAAAATTTTTATATTACAGACTTACACTGGGAGCATCTTAGTCGCAGTCAATCCGTACAAAATGTTTGATATTTATGGGACTGATCAAGTCAAGCTCTATGAAGGAAGAATCCTTGGAACTTTGCCACCGTAAGTTTATGCACTACATAATACTTTCAATTATTGAGAAGCTAATATGTTGCCACCTGCTTGCTTGAAATACTTCAAAGTATACGCAGAAATCTAATGGTTTTTGTTTCATGGTAGACACTTATTCGCTGTTGGTTCATCCGCCTACAGTCAAGTATGCGCGGCCAATAATTCGAGTAACAATCAAGTAGTCGTGATTTCGGGCGAATCCGGATCAGGAAAAACGGAATCGACCAAACTGGTGATGCAGTATTTGGCAGCTGTCAATCGAGCTCCAAGTAATCTCGTAACCGAGCAAATTCTTGAGGCAGCGCCATTGCTCGAAAGCTTTGGAAATGCAAAAACGCCACGCAATGACAATAGCAGCCGTTTTGGGAAGTACCTCGAAGTATTTTTCCGAGAGTACGTAACATTTACGTCATTGAAAAAACTTTACCAGAGCTTCAAGTTCAATATTTTTTAAGTTCATTCTAAATTAATCGAGTGTGGCAAATTTTTTGTTTACAGTGGAGTCATCGTGGGTGGTAAGGTGACTCAGTATTTATTGGAAAAAAGTAGAATCGTGACACAAGCCAATGGCGAGAGAAATTATCACGTCTTTTATGAGCTACTGTCTGGACTGGATCAGCAGCTTCGAGACAAATATGGACTGCTGGAACCTGACAAATATTTCTATTTGAATCAAGGAGGCAACTGCAAGATCGAAGGCAAAAACGACACTCAAGACTTTAAGGCACTGCTCTCTGCCATGCAAGTTTTGGGCTTCACATCGGAAGAACAAGACACGATTTTTAAAATTTTGAGCAGTGTGCTGCATCTTGGCAATGTTTACTTTCATCGCAAAAATATGAGACATGGTCAGGACGCAGTCGATATCGGCTCCGATGCTGAAATTCGCTGGGCCGCTCACCTATTACAAATTAACGCAGACGGCATTATCAGAGCACTGACAACAAAAACAACGGTACATGTAACGTAGAAAAAATGTGTAGATAGCAAAATTATCTAATCGATTACAATATTAACGTTCAAAACTTTTAAAATTTTCAGGAAGCTCGAAACGAGAGACTATTAACAACTCTAAATATCGATCAAGCCCTTGATGCCAGGGATGCTTTTGCTAAGGCACTTTATAGTTCACTTTTTTCATGGCTGGTTGCCAGGGTCAATCACATTGTCTACAAAGGCACAAAGCAGACAGCTGCCATTTCTATATTGGATATTTTTGGTTTCGAAAATTTCGTCGAAAATAGCTTTGAACAACTGTGTATCAATTATGCCAACGAGAATCTGCATTTTTACTTCAATAAGCATATATTCAAACTCGAACAACAAGAGTATGCCAAGGAAAAAATTGACTGGACCACTATTACTTATACTGATAACTTACCGATAATTCATTTGATTGCAAAAAAACCGGTAGGCATATTGCATCTACTTGACGATGAAAGTAACTTTCCGAAAGCCTCTGATCTTTCTTTCCTCGAAAAATGTCATTACAATCATGCGTTGAGCGAGTTATATTCTCGACCCCGAATGAATTCCGCGGAATTTGCCATCAAACATTATGCTGGACAAGTTTGGTACAATGTGGATGGATTCTTGGATAAGAATCGTGACACCCTTAGGCCAGATGTCGTCGAACTTTTAATTAGCAGTAAAATACCCGTGAGTGATGATTTTATATTTTGCGCATTGGGATTTGTTAGTGCCGATGAATAATATTTCATATTTATAGATGGTGAGCAAAATGTTCCAACACGTGCGTAACTCGCACGAGGCCAACAAGACAATCAACAAGCCGAACGGTAGATTTGTTACGATGAAACCCAGAACACCTACTGTATCGGCCCGTTTCCACGACAGTCTACAGCAACTTTTAGAATCCATGTCACAGTGAGCAAACTCTTGATTAAAAAGCCTGCCCAATTATTTGGTATAAATTTAATTTTTCAAAATTTTCCCAGGTGTAATCCGTGGTTCGTTCGCTGCATCAAACCGAATAACGAGAAGGCCCCGATGAAGTATGACATGCCATGCGTACTGGAGCAATTGCGTTACACGGGAATGTTGGAGACAATTCGCATTCGCAAAACTGGCTACCCTGTGCGTCTTCCGTTCGCTCACTTCGTGGATCGTTATCGTTATTTGGTGCCAGCTACGTGTCTACCTCGTGGAGCGCCGAGCAAAGAATTGTGCCGAATTATTCTCGAAAAAGCAGCTTCGGCCGAGGATCAATGCCAGTATCAATTGGGACTAAGCCGCGTGTTCTTGAGGGAGTCCTTAGAAAGAACTCTCGAGTACAACAGGGCTTTGATTCTCGAAAAAGCTGCCATTACCGTGCAAAGGTACACTCGAGGTTTTCTGGCTCGACGCCGCTTCCTCAACATCGCGCGCAGTGCCGTGCTTCTCCAGGCCGTTTATCGCGGCTATCGAGAGCACAAAAAGTACCGCGCCCTTAAAAAAGCTGTTATTATGGCCCAGAAGTTGTACAGAGGTAAAAAGCAACGCGAGCGCTACGCCGTTCTCAAAGAAGAGATCGCCAAACGCGCCGAGCTCGAGCGAGCCAATCGCGAAAGGGCCAAAGCCAAACAGCAGCGCGATGAACAAGAGAGAGCCACTAGAGCTGTTGCTGGAGTTAATCACTTGGAAATACCCGCCGAGTTGGCATTTATATACAGTAAATTGGATGGTAAGTTACTAGAGCCAAGTTTCGAAAAACCTCTTCTCTAACTATTTTCCTTCTACAGATTGGTCTCCAACTCACACGGAAAGAAATCTACTAAAAGTGGTTGGCAGCGTTGTACCTACGCTCATGACTTACAGCCTTCCCCGAGATATTGATCAGTATCAATTTTCCAAGTTCACCAATATTTATTTCAAAAGTCACATTTTCGGCTTGAAACGGGAACCAATCAACACTCCTTTCTTGCCCAAGTCTCGCGAACAAGATTTCAACGAATCTCTGATCATTTTCAAGTTGATTCTTCGCTTTATGAATGAGAACAATTTGACTGGAAAGCGCGAACAAGCTCTGGGTGATTATATCGTCAATAAGGGTATAGTCAATGAAAAACTACGCGACGAAATTCTTTGCCAATTATGTTCTCAAACATGGAAAAATGACAACGATGCGAATAAAGAACGAGGGTGGCTCCTTATTTCAAATTGCTTATCAGCTTTCCATCCCAGCCGAACACTCTACAAGTATCTTTTGAAGTAAGTGAATCAAAAGACTTACTCGCGTTCTAATCAACCAATTACATATTAATTTTTGGATTATAGATTTGTCTCCGACCACGCTTACGACGGCTACAAAGCCTATTGCCAACGTAAAATTTTACAGAGCGAAAGAGTTTTGATAAAAGTCATAAGTGGAAACCAAACATTGTGTTCACACATTCCAAGAAATTACCCGCCTTCGGTACTCGAATGGCGAGCAAATCGTACCAGGGTGAATATGGCCCTGACGGTCGGCTTCTACAACGGTAAGGCGATGATCGCGACGCATGCCAATGGCCGTGCTATCGAGCGATTGTATTTTATAATTCAAGTTCAGTTAAATTCTAATTCCGCAATGAAGGCTAATTGAACTTGATTCTCACATTATCATACAAAGCCGACGCAGCAAGATTAATGATATCGAATCCATGCGCATCAACAGGTGAAAATGCAACGTGCGCCGTTGATTCCTGGACTACTTGCGAAGAGCTGGCTTTTGCAGCGGTTCAGGGCTATGGAGAAGTAAACGGAGGCTGGACGGTGACGCTGTGGAACGAGTTGGACGGCGCCGACGCCATCGTCACCGAGACCAACGGCTTCGATTACGTCTTCGATCTTATATCCGAGATGGAACTAGCGCCAGCCTTTCCAGCCGCCAAACATATGTTCCTGGAGCAGCGCAAAAATAGTTTTTCACCGATCAAAAAGAGAGAGGTAAGCATTGTTGTCAACGTCCCGACCTCTACGCGTGTACAGTGCAGTACGTTGCACGTATGCGCGCACAAGTACGTATCGAAGCAGACGGGAGGGGGCAAAGAAGGAAGATGCATTGCGCAGCGCGCGTGCGGTGAAATGGGAAAACGGCCGAGGTGGAGGAAAGATAATACGAGCGTGGGAATGATATTATAGCGGCGCGTCGAGAGTCTTTCGCGCGAGCGCCAGCGCGCAAATATGAGTGGCAGCGGTGCCGAGTTGTTTTGCGCGTATATCGTCGAGGTGCGCGTGTTTCGCGGATCGAGGGCAAAAAGTAGTGTCCTCTTGTGCAACGACGCAACGACTTCGATTTTTTGAGCCGCGTGAGCGTTTCCGTGACTGTGTGTCTGTGTGTGTCTGTGCGTGTGTCAACCTGTGACTGTGAGTGCGTGCGCGCGTGTGTGTTTGTAGATCGGTCAGCGGCAAAAATCGCCACATGAAAGTTGGCGCGTGGATTTTAGCAGTGTTCTGTGATATTAGGCACTAACGGTCAAACAGACTGTGTACACAAGCACGCATATGGATCTAGATCACGATAATTCGGTATACTTCCAAGGTCGTACAGCTTTAAAATCGGTATCGCTAAAGCTCCGGTCGAATCAACATTCGGAGTGTTCGTCACTTGCGAGAAGAATATGTTTTTTTCGATGAATAACAACGCACGCGAATCTTGTCTCGAAAATACTCACGACCTAAGAAGAGTAAAAAAGAAACACGGCCTAGCATTTCACCTACGGCAGAAGTGCGCTGAAATGGCAAATTAATTACATCGGCCTCGCCAAGTCAAAAGCATACGCGAGCACAGCTCATAATATACAATGGAAAAAGAAAGTAGTAGCTTATATCTCATTATAAGAATTCGCGCTCTCCTCCATTACCCATATAATATTTAGAAACAACACATACGCGCACCCATATGACTCGGATACGTGCACTATAGACAAGCAAACATATGACTGTGTATTACATTGTGTTCGTGATGGTGTGTTGAAGGATCGCGAAGTCGATCGCGATGATCTGCTTCATAAGCATCAGAAAGAGCTGGTTGGATCACCGGTACTGAAAACCTTCCAACCGCTCGAAAGAGCCGGCAAGCTGAATTCGGTGCCAAAGCCCGTCGTGCTACCAACGACGACGCAACAATCGCAGCAGCAACAAGACAGGCCACTCGAGCCGGAAATACAGTCACCGAGGCGACCCGTGGTACCACCGCCTCAGCCACCTCCGCAACCGCAGCCACTCGCTAAAGTACCGGTGGGTATAATGTACACAGTAGTCCGTTTAGCAATCGCTATTTTTGCTACGTCTACTAATATCGTACATGTTTGAGCTAGCTATTGTGCGAACGCAGCGGCGAAAGTAATTGTTTACGTGCTCAATCGCAAAACAAACTGTTCTATTCCTCGTACCTGCTACTATTGGAAAAATTTCGTTTCCAAATCTCCTTTGAGTGCTAAAAATCATCTGTGTGATACATGAATGTTGTTTTATGATGAGCAAACAAGCAAAGATTTTCATTCAACTCTCGAGCTCGTCGGGCTATATGCCAACTCGCGTGCAGATAATATATATAGGTACTTTCTCGAGTCGCGCAAATCGTCAAGATCTTTATGAGTCTTTGCTAATTACTAACTGTGCAAATACACGTATACGTGTGCGCACACATGTTAAGACGTGTGCATCGGAGCATCTTTCTAGTATGACCCACCTCTCTTTGCCTCTTAACCAACAAAAGAAATTCTTTTCTTCTGTTAACGTACTAACAAATGTTCTACTTTTTGAAATTTGCGCACAATAACTCACTTGAGATTAAATCGATTGAAACGTAAAAAAAAAATTATTTAACATACGAGTAGATATGAAAACTTTCAAAATTATAAAAAAAAATTATGTCACAAGCATCGTGGTAAGCTATTATACCGTTGGAAGGATCGTGAGATTTTATAAGTATGTATACACATGCATGCATAATTTATATTTTACATATATACCATACCCGAAGAGCAGCGGATGAAAATGCAACTTTTCAACAGAATGGCGTAATAAAACAGAACATCTTATGCACGCACGTTGAGGTCATCTCAATTGAATCGCGTCTTTATTCGAACGAAATGTATTACCAATTCAAGAGCGAGTGAAAGAGAGAGAGAATGAGATAGCTAGAGTTGGGCACTTTTCAAAGATCTTTTAAGCCGATACATTGTGTTATTACTATACTATAAGTACTGTTGCTGCTGCCTTCGTCCGATGCTATTGCAAACGGTTGTTGAACTCTTTTTGCCACGCGCTCTCTGTTCTTTCACGCCTATTTTTTGTTACGCTGCATCGAGCGTGCTCTAACCTATACTTTTCTAAATAAATAACCGGAATTGTTTATGCCAAGACAAAAATCGCGACTTTTCCATTTACTTAACTAGTGATTAAAAAAATTTTTTTTTAAACATCTCGCATAATTTAGATACTTTACTTTATTCCGTCCGAGAAATTTGACATACCGGATGTAGAACATTAGATTGGTTTTCATTTACCAAGATTTTTAGGTCTTTGCTCCAGACGCTGTTTTAGACACCACAATTAAAAGCACCGAAATTGATTTTCAAAAAAAAATCGAAAAAATCCGTTGATTCATATGTTTTCTTTGATTAACCCATTAACCCGCAAAAACGAAATTTTGTGAGTGAATTTTTCGTCGTATAAAAACCATATATAAAATGTATATTTTTTCTTAAAAATTCTCACCCGGCGATTTCGGGGTGTGATTTTTCAGAATCCGGTGTTAGTTTTGTGCTAAGTAAACATTATTATCGTTCATGTTACAATTAAAAAGAAATGGTCACTTTTAGCCGTGACATTTTTTTGAAAGTCTATTATTTACCTTTTTTTATTATTTGTCGATTATTTAATTTTCTATACTGTAAATATATGAGACTAAATTTATTTTTAGATGCGCAAACAGTCACATGACACAATTTTAGAATCGTCAACTGAAATGGGTTTATCCCGTCAGTCTGCCCTAAATGATCGTTACTTTGAGAAAGAAAAACAACGTAGTCGCAGTTTGGACAATTTGCTTCAAGCTGAAATTTCTCAATCTAATGCGGGTTCGGTACCAACGGGTAAACTTGCTGATCTTGGTTTATCATCGTCGAAACTCAATGAGCGCTATCACAGTCTCGAACGAATCGGAGAATCACAAGCTGTTATCAATGGGTCACCAGAGGTTCAGGTAGTGCCTGAACGCAAATACAGCCGCATGACTAGGGCTTCCGAACCAAATATTTTGGAAGAAGAACTGACAATTGATTTCGAATATCCAGACATACAATCGGTCAGTCAAACCGGAAGATCGGAAGATGATAAGAGTAGTTACATCAGATCGCAAACTAGATTCATAAAATCTCAATATCCAGGTATGATCAAATATTGGTTTAAAAAAATGTTTTTATTATAACTCTGAAGCATAAAATGACTTACCTATTTAACAGCTGGTAAACGTGCACATCATGGTAGTCAATCGAGCCGCGCTTATATAGAAAAGAGCGAATACGGCGTCAAATCTTCGGCAATGTCAGATACAAGCGAGGCACCATCCCTTGCGTCTCACGTGCGTCGAGTTCGAGTACCAAGTCAAGCATCTGATGTGGATCAATTCCTTGACGAATTATTCATGCCTGTGCTCGACGGAAACCTCGATGAATTGTCTGACGCAAGGAGCCTTGCCGCTAGTATCAAAGGCATGCGGAATCCTAAACATCTGGAACCACAGAGCACGTCAGATTTCATAAGTTCCATTGTTAAAAGTAAGATTAAATTGTATTCAACTTATCAATTTTATAACTTATCATAGACTTTTCAAAAATGAATTTTTATATCAAAGATTCGACGGAAACTACTATTCTGGCAAAAGAATTATCGAAAAAAATAAAAGGTGGTGGTAACATGGATGTTCCTAATCAAAACGGCAGTTACAACTACAGTCCAATAATGTCATCGCCCATGATGATGCCAATATTCAATGGTGGTCAGCAAGTTCAATCACCTCAGAGCCCTACCATGGGCGCAGGTTTTGTGCCTATTCCCATTTTTAATATGCAGGGATCAAGTGTACCACAATTTCCAAACTCACCGCCAAATCAGAATGGGGACATGACATCTTATCAACAAAATCTTCAAAGAGCATTTTTACAAAGTGCCATGGCGCAAAACATTCAAATTCAACAGCAGTTATTAGCTCAAAATCAGGCACTGCAACAATTATTGGTTCAAAGTCCGAATGGAAATCAATCAGTTCGTATATGCAATATAAATATATCAAATGGATTTTTTCTTGGAAAAAATTGTATTCTAATGAATGTTATTTCACAGTTTAATGAAGATGCTGAAAACTGGCCTCAAGATGCGAAACGAACATCAACTCCAAATCAGTCAACGCCTGTAACGGTCAAAGCACAAGTTCATCGTTCCCAAAGCCCAGGCAAGAAAGTAGTCGATCCTTTACGAAAATCTGACTTTGGAGCACGCAAAATTAGCGCTGAACGCAAACTTGCTAGTCCGCTAGATTCTAAACGTGTACTGAACAAATCAAACACGTCTAATAACTTTACAAGCGTTCTCAGTGAACTTAAAAACAGAAAGAGTAGCAATGAAGGACCTGCAATGATAAATGGTAAAGGTGTACCGCCACCCCCACCTATGCCACCGCCATTAGATGCCTGCGATCCTTCAGAATCGAGGCCATTTTTGGACCCATACGGCAGAGCTAAAACAGTCAGAATTGGTAAATGGAGGTAAATTGAGATGATTTTATAGATTTAAATATAATTCTTACGCATGAATCGCATGAATTATTTGAAATTTTAGATGGCCCCCACCAAGTGATGCAAATGAAAATCAAGGACAAGATAGTTTTATAGAGTTTAAAATGCGACAACATCAGCAGCAGCAACAACAACAACAAAAAATGAACTCTCAAAAACATTACGAATTCGGTCAAGGAAACGATCCGTTGGCTGATGGTGGTGTTGAATGGGAAGAATTTGAAATTGAAAATATTGTCAATGATGATGGAACTGTAATGGTACATGCAGCTGCAACGGTAGTACGTCATGAAAACGGGCTGATAGACGACAGCGATAAAAAGAAAAAAAAGAGGTAAGCATTTTTTAAACTAATAGGAAGCTATAACTTACAAGTATTCGACAAAATTGTTTAAATGTGAATGCTTTGTAGATCTGGATTTGAAATTGGTGCGCAAAGACCGTCCCCTGGAAGCATCGGTAAACTCAAATTGAGTTCTGAAATGAGGCAAAGACTCGAAAAAGTAACAGCTAATCATAGTGTGAGATCATCTAAGACATCTGAAAAACCAGCCTTGATTCGTGACGATGGAAAAGTCAAACGTTTGGAAGACAATAGAAAATTACTCTTGGAACAGCAACTCGGTAAGAACAGTCAAATGCTTATTTAAAAAATTCGAGAACTACTATTTAGAAAAAAGTAATCGGAAAAACTTCACGCTTTAACATCAAAACATTGACAGATATTTTATTAAGAATGACTTAATAGCTAACTTACATTCAGAAAAAAAGTTCTTGTATAATTGTGTTGACTTCAGGTATCCATTTTATTTGAACTCTATGCGTCACTTAAATAATTTGAAAAATGTATAAGCTAGCAACAAAATATCCACTGGAAGTATCGTTGTTCACATTTTTTTTTAATTTTATTCTAGGCGGAAGGTGGGACGACTATTCATCTACCTTGGATGATGCCCATAGCGTCACCTCAAAAGGTACAACTGACATGATGACTCAGGCCCAAGTTGTGAAAACACAGATTGAAAGAATGGAAAGACCAATTCCACCACCACCTCCAATATCACCTCCTCAACCACCAGGTGGACCTGTATTTGCTAATGGGTAATTTATAATAACATCTGTAGATTAAATTAACAACTCTTTTTACTCCTCGTGATTTTTCAAATAGCCAATCCGGACTTGGTCAACCTCGTTCACCTCCAGCACCAGTTGAACCAAAAACATTTCGAACTTTGCCGGATTCCGATGCTTTTGATCAGTTCGCTAAAAGTCATCGCGAAGCGTTCATGCAAAACCACCCCTATGGAAAAGACCTAATAGATATTGCTAGTTCTAAAGATTTTGATTCACGCCGTGATGGCAGTTCTGACATCTTCTCAGATGCAAAATATGCATTTGAAAATGTGAAACGAGATCCATTTGGTATGGCCCGAGATATGTCGCCAAAGTCTAGAGATAGTTTTGGGATGCCATCTTCCAGGGATATTGGTGTTGTACCTAATACAAGAGATTCTTTTGCAGTAGCTAGACAGAGTTTCAAGAAGATGGATGGGGATGCCGATCGGAGATCCAGTGTGGCTTCGACTTTAGTAATATTTTAATTACATCATTGAGAAAAATACTTTTTTCTTTTGATAATTTTAATCCAACGACTTCTTTCATTGCAGCGTACAGATAAAATGGAACGCATCGAAATTAACGAGTGGCCAGATTTCCTGGAACCCATAATACCAGCAGCTGAACAACCTGAAATTGAAAAGGCTCAAGAGATCGTCGATACACAACTCTACCCTCAAACAACTCAAACGCATGTAACTTACAATCGCGTGAGTTGGTCGCTGAGGGTGAAGAAGGAAGTTTTTGCACCTAACGAGACTCTTGCTGCACCACTTGCGATGCATCTGGTATTTTGTCAAGTAGCTTACGATGTACTTGCAACGTCCAACATTCGAATTTCCAAGGAAGACAGACAAAACATGTTAAAACTTCTCGATGGCTACGGCATAACACTGGATAACTTGCAAAGCCCACACCATAAAATCACAATAAAGAAGAATGTTGTTGACATGGCCAAGCAGTGGCCTCTTTACTTTGCTCGTATTTTCCCTGTATCGGTAAGTCATTGAAATTAAGTAGAGATAATGCAGCTCCAATTTTTCGTGTGATTCTACTGGGTATATTTTACCAGGTGGGACCTCAGCATCCCGACGTACAACACGTAGCTGTATCTCATCACGGAATACGGCTCATAAATCGTAATAACAACGGTGAATTAATAATTCTGGAAACTATACCCTTAGAGGACATTGTATCGGTCAGCAGTCAGAGGGCTGGCGTTTGTATTTTACAAGTGGCATCCGGTATCAAGCTGCCTTTACACACCATCAGAGCTGCACAACTTGCTGACATGATTGCTAAATATGTCAGTATTGTAAGTACTGAGATTTATAATGGATATGAATTTTTAAATTTTTTATTTCTTGAAAAATCTTTGCATGAAGGAATAATACCAAATAATTTATTCCAACTAATTGTCACCATTTCGGGATGAATAATAATTTCATTATGTTTGATTGATAAAAATGAGATGAATTTTGAGCTACAAAAAATTTGAATCAAATGCAATGGTCATGCGCGATACTTGCAGCCTGGCTAACTTGAGCGCGTTTCATGGGTGCGGCCAGTCTCTCCCGCCCCTTATTTTCGCATGCATATACTAGCTCTGCCAGTCACAACCCAATGAAATTCACATTGCCCACATTCCAGCTACAGAATATCTCTATTTTTGACGTTCAATGCAACAGATATTGGAATTAAGCGCGTTAAGAATTTAAAAATTTAACAATCAATTTGCGTGCGAAGCAAATGAACATTGATAAATAAATCATCGGTCGTTGACTAGTTGACTAGTTCCATAAACCTTTTGGAAAAAAATATTTTATTTACACATTTACACGCCAGGAGACAAAATAATTGATTGAAATAACAACGATAACATTGGCCGTAATAGTTAAATAAATCGTGAACTTGTTTCGTCTTTAATCTCTAATGAAACGCAAAATTTCCATTAGCATATAAATCAACGACTTTTCACTCGAGTCACGCGTGGTTCATCGTTCGCCATAATTGAAAAATGTCAAGAAAATTTTCTTTCTTTTCTCGATGTATCATACCTGCACTAGTATAAAGTATATGGTCATAATTTAAACTGGTTTCCAAGGTAAAAAAGAAAAAAACGAATCGGTAGGTTATTGCAGGAATGTATACGGGAGAAGAGGAGATGCTCGAGGCATAAGCGATTAGAGTTTAAAAGAGGAGTTAGCTTGTGCTCGGAAGGAGGAAGGGAAAAAAGGAGGAGAACGACATCTTGTATCGATAGGAGTAGGATTGCAAAAAAAATACACATTTATCCAGGCAGACGCAGATGCAGCGGTGCACGTACTGGATTGTCAATTATTGCCGCGCTGTCTAGGCGAGGAATGCAAATCGATCAGGCATTTTTGCCCCTAGAGGCCGGCCGGGTGCTCTTCAAGGCATTATCGCTCTTTGATTCGCCAACATTTCCAACTGCTACTGCCAAGAGAGGAGAGCGAGTTGAACGGACTCGTGCAAGTTGAATGATTACACCGCGCGCGCGCGCGCATGTAAATTTACGCGATGTCGCGCAGTCTGCGTGCCGAGATTTTACCAACGTGCTCGACGCTTGATTTATTGACATCTCATGAGCATCCTATGGCCATCGACGAGGGTGAATAATAATTTAATTTAACGCTAATCATTTACTCGTGGGAAGATACTCGAACGAGAGAAAATCAGCCGTTGATCGGGCTGAGCATTTTCCTAGCTCGAGCGAACGACCATTTTGTTTCGACTCGTAGTTAATTCGCTCAAGACGTAAGAAGGTGTAGCGGCACGTTGCACGGCCATATAATAATAAACTTCATCCGTCCGTACGTTAGTTGAGGGCATCGGCTTCTTGTAAGGTGGCCGGTGCATCGTATGTATGCGCGTATGTATTCGCCAGGCACACATGGGCACCGGTACGGAAAGTACTACTGGCTACCAGGTGTTACCTTATCCGCGCCGCTCGTTACGTCTATGGATGTTACTCTTCTGCCGCGTATGTATGTATGTATTTATTATACATCGTACACGTCACGCTTAGCGTTGATTGCACATACTCATGCAGACGATTTGCTTCGATGCATCACAAGAGTTTGCGTGCAATATGTTTTATGCATCGAAGAAAAAATGCCTTTTTTCGACCGATGGAAATAGACCAAAAATAGAGTAGTATTTATTAAAAATAATAATCTCCGTGTCTCTTCTGCCTATTTTCTGTACACCGGAGTTGCATTGGTTTACGTGCAATCTCAACGCATCAAACCGTATGATATATCTGATTTGGTTACGCTTCCTTTACACATTTCGCGCTCACGTATGTGTACGAGTGCGAGTAGATCTGCGCACTTTGGACTAGCTGGAAGAAACCGTTTTCTATAACGTAATAGTTATTATGGAAGCTCTCACTGGCCCAAGTGATATCTGCCTCGAGTACGGGCAAAATATATTCTTTGCTGCATACGCCCGTGCATTCTTACACCACACCTTATAAATTTTCGATAAGTCCGTTAGACTAGAATAAAAGTAAATAATAAATGTAAAACAAAAAAAACGATGGCCTCCATTTCATAGCGTATTAAAGCCAAATTTACTTTATCTCCATGCAAACATAACGTGGACTAGTTTACAGGCGTGCAAGTACACGTCTACAATTAAACTCATTACTAGGTACTTACATTCAAGCAGCAAGTTAATCATTTATTTTTACTTGAATCTTTTTTTTAAGTAGTATATAATTCTGTTTTTTTTTATACATAAAAAAAAAAAAAATTTTTTTCTTTCAAAAAATAAAAACACGTCAACTTTCCATAAATCATTGCATATTATATACTACTTACTTCATAAAATAGTTCCGCAATTAATGATAGTAATTCCGATAGACTTGATGGTGCATCTCTACTATACCTCATACGAGAAAATAGTTACACCGGTAAAGAGCGCCAAGTCCATCTCAACTCTCGGTGAATATTTTTTTACAATAGAGACATCATAAAATAAATTATTTTAAACCAAGACTTCCGATCCAATTATACTTTTCGATTAAATGTAGATTTGCTCACGTATAGTTGCTTATTTCGCAAGGTTCAAACATGTTACATCGAGATATTAAAAATGACAGTGGTTGAAAAAAGCCACACGTGCAGTGGAGACTTGAAGTTTATTTGCATAAACGTTATATTACGCGAGGAAATTATAAAAAATAGATCCGCATAACTGTACGAACATTGCGTAATTGGCAGAACTGAAATTTTTTTTACAGAGAGCCCACACCCTCTAGCTTATATTCGCTTGAAATAATCAATACTAATAAATTGACTCAACAAACGTAAAATAAGTTACTTAAACATTTTGTACGCGGTGAAGATTTCAAAGTTCCTTTTCATCATATATTTTGCTTTAGCGTGTCTGTGCGCCGTAGCGCAGCTCCATAAAAAATTGTTATATCACACGTATACGAGCGAGGGAAGATCATCGGGGCAGGCCTCAGCCAGACCGAATTAACTGTATTTTTTTCTTTACGTACAAAACTCAGCTTGCTCGTGTAGTTTAGTTAAAAAGAACCATCTACAGTTGCAGATTCCAGCAAAATTAACGGAAGTACTTACACTTTATTTTCGCGTAACTGACAGTCGCAATGCGATTTCTCATAAACATATAGAACACGCGGAAAACTTTTTCTCTATATTCAAGCATCGGAACATTTTGTATAATCAGGAGAAATCGAAAAATTGTCAACTAATATTCTTAACTCACACCTATGATGAATCAATTAAATGTTCCAATTCAAAAGCATGCGGTACGCTCTACGTGTTCATAGCTCAAGTTGTAAACAGACGGAATTTCTACAGACATGCGTTCGTCGGTAGGTGTGCCTAGAACCGATAGAACTGATAATATATTATACGATATTTTTGCGAAATTTATATTCTATGCAAACTGCAATTGGCCTTGATTGCGCTGCCATTCCTGTACGATAATTACAGAGCTTGAGAAGGAGATCAATAGTAGTATACATATATATGTACATTCATGTATCTACGCGCCCGAATATATACTTGAAAAATCCTCGTGATTCCAATACTTTAATAAAATTCCAATAAGACGCTGTTGTTTGTATCCGAATCTTATCGGTACACCACCGCGACTGCTGGTCTATCCTTGTGGTTTTTCTTTGTTCCTGGGTGCCTACGATATCTGATGATCGTCAATACCGGAAGTTGCGGTATGCATCGATTCATCACTCATCGTAGTATTTCAATCAATTTTTACCGCTACGAATCTAGCATATACGGTTTGTGGTGAAATCGACAAAATCTTCCTTCGTCCTTAAAAGTAGCAACGATTTTCGTTTAAAATAGTTTTTCAAAAATATTCGAGAGTTCTATTTATTCCTTCAAACTTTTGAAGATCGTACCCATTCTTTGAATTTGGAGTCATGTATGCCTATACTGGGTAATTAATTGCTTATGACTATGAATTTTGGAATTGAACCAGATTTTGAAAAATCGAAAATATTTTGAAAAAGTTCGGAATAAGTTCACACGTATTCTTCAACTCATTTTAAACATTTTTCATATGTATAATTAAAGGGCAGTTTACGAAAGTCAAGTTGAAATATCTCCGTCAGTGCAAAAATGATCGTTATTTATTGATGTAGGTCTATATTAACTCATCCTCTTTGGTGGAAGTAAAAATCTAAATCGTAGAGAAATTGATGCTTTCTACAAGAAAAAAAATCCATAATAATCGAAAACACAATCTTGCAAATAAGCCTCGCATAATAAAATAATTTGATGCGAGTACCTACAATTTATAGTGTACGGTCAACTGAACGGATGAATGAGCAGGATAAATATTGCACAAAATCAGCATTGAATTGGCTTCTACTGAGCATGAATAAGTGTAGTAATAAACACGTGCATTATTGAGACGATAACATACAACAGCCCTCCTTCTTGGCATATCTATGCACCTCTAGGCGTTTCAAGCACATCTACGATTGAACTAAATTTACCAAGATTTTTTGATTATATTTTAGATAATAGTGTAAATAGGAAAGATTTTGTGATTATAGTGTCACTCTTTTAGAAAAAATTTTCGCTTATGTAAATGTCATGAAATAACAAATCTTTTCGGCGAGTGAACTGAAAAAAAAATTAACTGAGTAATTTTTTTATTCAATAGCTCGTTTATTAGCCGTTCATCATCAGGACTAAAACAAACGGAAGTGATACTGCTTGATTGGATATGAAAACCCAACTAGACGAGATAAAGAAATGTAAAAAATGGCGTAAAATGTCCGTTTAA